TGTAGTTTCAACATATTCTCCTCGATTTGTGTAATTCTGGCTTTCATCCTCTTCTTTTTCAAATAGGTGTTATGTGGATGGGGTATGTCCAACGCTTGAGACGGTGTATCCAGTATTTTCTTCTTCGATGAGACATGTATATGTTAGTTAATGTGAATGCAAAGAAAATAACAAAATGCCAAAATGCATGATGTATGATGCATGAAATGTCCGAGGCATTGATCCAAAAAATGTGCCTGTTATTATGAGTAACCCTTATTGGTGGCAAAAGTGTTACGTCTGAAGAGACAGAAAACTTTTTGATGGTATAGATCCCACACAGCTTCTGACAAGTTGATTCGTCTTCCGCCTTTTTTTTCCCGGTTGAATATCCTGTCGAACCCTTCGGTTCCTTTGGCTAAACTTGTGCAGGTGATGAGCTGCTTGCCCCAAAAAAGGTCTCGAAGGACTGCATCTCCGGCTTTCACTCTATGTCGAGCTTGTTCCAAACGAAAGTGCCATCGGAGCCCTCCATCCGAAGCTTATCGACTCGTTTCTAGAATTTATCAATAATGGTCGCCAGCTTAGCTAGGGTTTCGCCATCTTGTTCTCGCAGTTTTCGAAATGACTCTCCGGGTCAGTAACATTTTCCTCGTCTTGCCCCTGCAACCTTTGCCTCTGAGTATTCTTTAACCACGGCTTCTGAGCTTTTTATCTCTTTGTATTATAACCTTTTGTCCATTAATGCAGATTATTCATGTTTAACAAACATGCTTTTGGTGGATCAACACCTCTTTTAAATGATGCAAGTAATGAAAATAAAATGAAAGAGAAAAAATAAAGAGAGTTAGTGAGGTAAAATAATAAAAAATAATCATGAAAAATAAAAGTCATGCCCCACATGATATCTACCCGAACATGCTTAGTATTCCTACCCGAACATGATTTCTATCCCGCATGCTAATTTCAAACAAATCCTAATCGCATATTTGTCTAGTTCGCATACTTTGAACAGAAAATAAAATAGGAAACAAAGCAGCCTAGGGTTTGGAATGAGGTCTTGGGGTGGGCTCTAATTCCTTATACTCTCCCGGTTTAGGTTCTAAAAAGATACTCGAGTTCTCTTTGCTGGTGCCCCCTTGGGCTTGCCAGACCCTTAGTCCTAAGCCCATTACAAGCTTGTGTGGACTAAGTTAAACTCGAGAGGAAACATTCCCTTATGCTCGCACGGTGAATAAATTCACACGAAGACATAAGGTATATGAATCCCGAAGGCTACTTGCTAGGCCCGCACGGTGAATAAATTCACACGAAGTTGTCACTTTCACCCCACTTAAATAGGGTTCAGAGCTCGGGTATAGAGCTAGAGATGGAAATTTTGAAAATTCTGAAATCATAAAAAAACGTTAGTACAACTATTTACTTGAAAAATAATCAAAGGTAAATAATTAGAATCGAATAAATAAATTAAAATTAAAATTTATAACTTTCGCTAAAAAAGAGAACTGAAAATTAATTTCGGCCTGACTCACTTACCTGTCCCCAGCAGAGTCGTCAAACTGTCGGAGCCGTCTTTCAGTTGGGCCCCGAAATTGGGTTTCAACTTGAATTAATGTGGTTAGAGTCACCACCGACCATTTTAAAAACGAATTTAGGTGGGTTGAACACCATCTTACCTGATCTGCGTTTAACCAGAAACGTGTCTAGTACGAGAGTCGGTTACGGTCAAGGAAGGATTAGCACCCTTGAACCGCCCTTTCGATACCAATTAATTTATCGGTTGTCTTAGTTGCGTAAAGTTAAAAATTAAAATTAAAATTTAAAACGTTCGATTGAATTACTTACCTTTGATCGATTGGAGTTCTTCTAAAAAAGTAAAAAATGTTATATAACAAATATTAAATAAAAATAAATAAAGTAAACAAAAAAAGAAGATGAATAAATAAAAATAGAAATAGAAGAAAAAATATTAAATAAAAAGGAAAAAGAAAAAGATAAAAAATAGATAAAAAAGTGAAGCTAGTAAAAAATATGATAAAAATAAAAACATAAAACATAAAAAATGAAGAAAAAAATAATAAATAAAAAAGTTAAATTTTGAAAGAAAAATAATAATTTAATAAAATAAAAAAAAATTAATTCACATTAGTGACTAAAATATAAATATTGAAATATGCATACTCCAAAATGAAATAAACTGGAACTTAATGAAGTGATTAAAATAAAAGGTTACAAACGGTCGGGGACTAGAACGCCATTTCCCCTAAAGTCTCAAAAACACGGGTGTATATGGGGCAAAAATGCGTCGTTTTGATTTCACTATTTAAGGCCAAAATATGGCATTCCTCCACCTGTTTCCCCTCATTTGTTTCCTTGCACTCTCTCTCTAAGAGAGAGATCTCTCTGAACTATCTAGACCAAAACTCCCTCTCAACGTCCTCAACCCAAAACCGAAGTCCAAACACACAAAAAATGCCCCCATTGGTGTAGATCTAAACCAAAAGTCTCGACCTTTTACCTTTCTGCTTATGTTCTCGCAGTTTGGTCTTTATGTTTCGTTGTTTTGCTTGTTCTCTCGGTTTTATTGTAGTGTTTGGTTGTTGGTATTTTTGTGTGTGTGGTTTCGATGCTTTTGTAGTCTCTCGGTTCTGTTTACTGCATATTGTTGATGGTTGTGTTTCGGTGACGTTGACTCCTTGTTTTACTGTGGGTTCTGTTTACTGTGATGGTGATGTCCTCGGTCTTACTGTTGGTCGATGTTGTTATGTTGATGGTGTTTTGGGTACTGTGTGGTTTTGGATCTTGGTTCTCGATGATGGTGTTGGTTGTTGATGGTTTCTAGTATCGATTTTGGGTACCCCGTTCTCGGTATTTATAGGTCTTAATCGGTCGTTTGTCTATTCCGAAATACGAGGCTCTCGTGGCCGTTAAGGCCGGACACCCCGGGATGGGTCAGTCCCGGGGATCTCGGTCGGCCGTTGACATTGTTGTGATATCGATGATTCCATGTGGTTCTGGTTTACTAACTTGCAGCGCTTGACTGAGATGAATTAGGGTTTTCAAACCCCAAACCTAACCGAGCTGGTTCAGCTCAATCTGGACTGTTACTGGACCTAATCTATGGACCTGAAACGAGATAAAAAATAATAAATAAATAACAAATAATAATAATAATAAATAAATAATATTTTTTAAAATTATATTTTATATATGATTTAAAAATGATTTTCAAAACCATATAATATAATATATTTTCAAAAAGTATTTTAAAACTATATATATTTTCAAACATGTTTTTTTTAAACTATATAATATATAATTGTTTTCAAAATGTTTTTAAAACTATATATTATATAATTTTTAAAATTGTTTTCAAAAACTATATATTATATAATTTTCTAAAATGTTTTAAAAACTATATATTATATAATTTTCAAAAAATGTTTTAAAAACTATATATTATATAATTTTCTAAAATGTTTTAAAAACTATATATTATATAATTTTCAAAAAATGTTTTAAAAACTATATATTATATAATTTCCAAAAACTATATATATATATATATATATATATATATATATATATATATATATATATATATATATAAGTATGGACGAAAATTAGTGTCTACAAAAATAAAATCAAAAGTCCTATATATGATTTGATTAATAATAACATATGTAATACTAAAATTAAAAACGTAGGGAAAGACTAAATTTTTATACATGTTTCATATGATATTTCATTAATATCTTATCAATGTTTTATCATATTGGATTTTAGCATGTGGGAAAAGTTAATTTTTTTAAAGAAAAAATAAGTTTAAATTTATATATTTGTGACTTATGTTTATGATCATTTAAGTTCAATTTATAAATTTATATTTAAATCATTTAATTCACAAATATATATATATATATATATATATATTAATAAAAAATTAAATTTTTAGAGAATTAGTGATTTTTAAAATATTTTGAAAGGACCAATTTAAAAAAAATCAAGAAGTCTATTGACAAATTTTTAAAATCTTGAAGGGATAAGGCCCCTCTAGCACTCCTTTAATTCCGCTATCGTATACCTTGTAGATAAGAAGTGTTATCCCTCCAAACACAGTAAAATTTAAAATTTTCATTGATAGTAAAACAATATAGATTTCCTCCATGTTATCCATATAGTTTTCTAGTTTGAAAAAATAAATCTAGATCCATATAGTTACACATACTATAGTGATCAACTGAAGACTGAAAGACAGACATTTCTTTTATATCCATCTTATTTTGATTTGATAACTTTCCCTTTTATGTCCTGATAATTAACAAATATGAGGTTGATATTAAACGCCCAATATGTAGTCACCAGATTTGGGAAATTGAATGTTTCATTTTGTTACAAGTGGTGAAAGGGTTAAACACACCGCCTTCTGAATTGCCTGGGTTGTGTACTTGGTTATCAAAAAAGTCTCGAGCTCTATATTTTTAAGTTTTCCATGGCCAAAGTCGGTGGTCCTGCTTATCTCTCTGCCAACTCGTACTGGGGACTAAGCTTCAGACTGAGTTATTATCACATGTAAACATCAGGAGCCACAGCTCCATGGTCAAATGTGTGAGGTGTCAGCCACCCTCTTTGTGGAATTAGCTGCTCAACGTTTCAGTAGCTTTTTCTGGCGGTCATAAGTGTCTGTAATCAACTTACACCACAGATACATTTTGCACCCTAAAGGGTATGAAAAATCAGAATCATCCATGTTCTCTTTTTTATCCATGGCCACGTACCTTCCAGACTTGAAGGTCACAACTTTATTTAGACGAGCTGGAAACTCATTCCAGTCTGACAACCTTGATGTGGCCTCAACAATACATGTATCACTGCAACCTTCAGAAAAAGAAATTTATAACGCTGCTACTCCCTACTGTGTGATTGGACCCACCTCCTCATAGTTGGGAGATTCTTTTTTTTTTTCTTTATTTCTTCAAACTATATGTATATAATGTTAACCATGTCATTGTGTTAACCAGCTCATCAATGGAAGCGTTTGCAACAAAAGTTGCCAGTCTTGCTCAGAAACTAGCTGGAATTTTGGCAGAGAAGTTAGGTCACAAATCGAGCTTTTTCCAGGAAAGTTGTTTGCCAAGCACTTGCTATCTCCGACTGAACAGATACCCACCCTGCCCCATTCCTTTAGGCATTTATGGTATCATGCCACACACCGACAGCGACTTCATCACCATACTGCACCAAGATCAGGTTGGGGGTTTACGATTAGCGAAAGATGGGAAATGGGTTTCTGTTAAACCCAACCCCGATGCTTTCTTCATCAACATTGGGGATTTATTTCAGGTTTCGCATAAAACTTGTTTATGGTTTCCACAGTGGTAAAGGAGCCGCTGAGTTGGATGTCTTGTTTGTGCAGGCTTGGAGCAATGGTTTTTATACAAGTGTTGAACATTGTGTGGTCACGCATCCAACAAAAGAGAGGCTTTCGGCTGCATACTTCCTTTGCCCATCTAATGAAACGGTGATAGAGAGTTGCAGCAAGCCCTCGGTTTACACCAAGTTTAGCTTTAGGGAATATAGGCAGAAAGTCCAGGAGGATGTTCGACTATATGGTTATAAAGTAGGGCTCCCCAGGTTTCTTCCATGAACATTATCACCAACCAAGTAAAACAAGTATCAGTTGCAATTTGCATCTTTTACCTAAGGTCATTGCTGTACAAATGTTAACGTTCTCTCCACTTTAAAGTTTAAATAGGGATATAAACAAGTTAGTGGAGTTGGACTCCATTTGAAAGTTAGTAAGTTTAAAATTATCAATTTCGACTTTAAACATTCTCATACTTAACTCAATTGAAGCTCGAATTTAAACATTGAGTACATAAAATCCTTACATTATATTTTTCTATAAAAACAATATAAATTTTTTCTCGGCAAAAGTATGATTTTATTAAAATTTAAAGACCGAGACAGGAGCCTCGTTAAAAACCTTTCTAACCCTAAGTGAAAGAAAAGAGTGCATCCTATGCAAGAGAACAACACAACTCGAGACAAATATCCCCACAACTCGAGATACGATAAACCTGCAACGAAGACCAACTGCAAACACTATCAGAATCTGTTAAACATCCTCAAGGCAAACACGCGAGCACGAGAACACCACCACAACTCCTAACAAAACATCCCTCGTTTATAAATGCTAGTAATATTATTAATAATTTAATTTTAAAATTAAAAATTAATATATTATTTTTTCAATCTACTACCTCATTTCGGCTCATCAAGAATTCAAGTAGAGTTCAAGCTCGAATCGACTCTATTCAAATCGAGTGTTGACTGAATCAAACTTAAGTAGTTCACAATCTGTCTCGTCTCATTTACACCCTATCCATGACGTTACCATCATTTTGACCGGATCAAATTTGCTTGATTTTAATAAAAGAAAAAACATGTCAAGTCCTATAGATTTTAGTTTAATCCCTAAAATTTTATTTAATCATAAACTAATTTATGTTTATCCCTAGATTTTATACTTCAATTTTGTATTTATTATTATTGATAATGATATATATTTAACTTTTAATATTAAATAAAAATAAAATAAAGATTGATGCCACTTACAGTAACTGAGAGCACACGAAAAAAAAAAGTGATGACCGAGGCAGCAATAGGAAAAACAATGATGTAATTGGAAAGTTTATAAAAAGGGAGAAGAAAATGGTGTCACCAGAACGTCAGGGAAATCCAAGTCCAAGACACGTATCTTAGTTCCAATATCACAAAAAACCTAAGCTCCACACGGTTACTAAGTGATGCATCTCTTATTAAATCAGTTGCATCATGTAAGCTCCATCCTTCACGTTTGTGGGAGGGATTTTGTTTTTACTCTCTAATTTTCGTAACGCCCTCCATCACTAACTCTCTGCTTTCCTGGGATTTGTTGGAGCTAAAGTTGCTTATTTGCTTAGAGAAAAGAGATGAATTCTACGGTCATACCAAAATGAGTTCTAAAACAAAAACAAAAAAGTTGCTTATTTGTGACATTAAGAACAAGTTGATCATGCCAAAATGAAGTCTACGACAAAAACAAAAAAGAAATACAAAATACCTCAAATAAGTTTGACCTAACCAACGGCAATTCTACGGTAATGGGTGCTCAGCATTATCAGGGAGTGGACTAGTGTTTAGAAGATCTGCTTTGGAAGTCTCATCCGCCCTCCCATTATTATCATCAACATCCAACACATCATCCATCATATCATCCTCCCCAACATTGATATCTTCCACATCTTCCTCATCTTCATTGTTGTTTCCACCAGGTATCTTTCTCTTCTTTGGACCATGCTCCAATCTGTGGCTATCCAATTCCTTGTCCATAGTTTCTTGTAGGTTCATTTCATTGTTTGCTTTCCAAGCTTTCCGGGCATTTTGCCACCTCTCCAACTCCTTCTCCACGTTTCCAACATACTCTTCTCCTATCTGTTTCTGATATTTAGATAATTCCTCCCTCCTACCTGCCTTCCACTCTAGAAACTCCTGTTATGCAAATGCAAATATATACATATCATTAACATTAGCATCACATATTAATAAAAGACTAACTAGCACAAGGAAAAAATGACACCCCTAGCTTCTGGAAGAAAATAAAACAAGGGAAGAAAGTTGGTTTTTCTTTATATGCTATAACTTTTCTCAGTATGCCTAAAGAAATAGGGGAGAGAACCTACTTGTTCCTTTTGCTGCTCACGTATGGCCGCATCTTCATTCAATGGTTTAGTTGGCAAATAATATATTGCAGGCTTGGTTTTGGTCCTGAAACACATTCCAAAAGCAATAAAATTAGTCCAAATTTATCCAAGAATTACTGCAATCTACCCAAATCCCAGAAAGCAGGAATTTGTTTTTGGATGCTTCAACACAAATATGCACTTGATCAGAAACTTATCTGTCTCAATAAAATTGTGAATATGGATACTACTGGACCAAAGTTAAAATTAACCTGCAACAGATGGGTATGCAGAGAGGATGTTAATGCTACTCATTCATTGCCAAAGCAATGTTAAAGCAGAAAAGATTTTATGCCCCAAAGGAGGTGAGACCATATATCACTAAAATTGATAATACATAAATACCTTATAAAATTGCTAAGCTTTTTGTGGTGCTCACTCCACTGAAGAAACAACAACTCCAGCTTCTTTTCTTCAGCCTTCGCAGCCACACGAGCCCTGAGAGTCTGAAAACAGAAGCAAAAAGCAATAAGAACCATTTACTTCCTTCTACATTGAACACTAACATCAATAATGGTCAATAACAACCAGATCTCTCCTCCTCTTTTCTGCAATCTGTTCACGCTCTTGTTGCCTCAGCTTCTCACTTTCTTCACGAGCTCTTTGCTCGGCCTACAAAGAGATCCAAAGATGTAGTGATCAGCAAATCCCCAAACTGTTCAATGATTATTTATTTGTACTTGAGAGACATAAAATTAGGAGTCTCATGGAAACCCCAATGTTTTTCCTAGCCAATTGATAATTGTTTTGTATTCCCTAAGAATCACTGATCTCATCATAAGAAATCAGAAATCACAGTGTGAAAAAGGCCAAGCTTACTCTTTGCAAAGAATTTGATCGTCTCATATATGCCTCTGTCCCCGAAAGTTGCTTATCTTCTCTCCTGAATCTCTGCAAAAATGCAAACAAAAGGAAGATATTATTATGAATCTACAAAAGCCAGCACATAGAAACAGGTTACACTAGAGTTAAGTACAAGGAAATGATAGGTTTTCCAAGTTGCAGTTCAAGAATCTATTGACATAAAAGCACCCAAACAGAAATGGGAGGCTGAAATTGATTATCTACAAAAAAGAACTCTATATTGCAATTGTTGTGCAACTTTGCAGCTCACAGCTTCTTGTTAAGCCATTTCTTTAGATCTTTGCTTTACTTAATAAAGTTTAGGCAGTCTGGTTTCAATCCAGAGAAGGAATTTCAACCATTATCAATTCCCTAAGACAGCAATTACAACTTAAATACCTCCAAAGTCCCTAAAAGTTGCCCCAACATCCTTCTATTCCTATTAATTAAGCCTGGGTCTTCATCCTTGGGAAGAATCCTTGGAACATGATCTGCAATTGGAACTTCAGAATCCTAACAAAAAAAAAGACAACAAAAAATATCATGCATTCATGGACCTAAATAATGTCACGGCTCTAAAAAATTTAAATTTAGAGTGCAGAAAAACCTTCTTCTGTCTTTGGTTTCCATCCCTAGACCAACCATCTTGCTGCAGAGTTGAATGTTTTTTCTCACTCTCATCTACTGGACCAGATCCTTCAACAGCCATGTCACTGACATCCTTTGCCACTTCGTCGTCAACAATCTCTCCATCTTCCACCTTCAATCCGAAATTAAGAAAGCCGTAATAGAATGTTTCAACCCCATAGAAAAAATGGTATAAAGGAAGGGCAAAGAAAATGTACGTAAATCCACAGTCTTGCTCAATCCAGCAAGAAAAGGTTTACCTTTACAACAGCTGACGACAATCGCTTCTTAGCCGGAGGTTGATGTTCTACATCTGTCCTATCCGCCTACAAGCATTAAGAAAAGAAAATGAAAAAAAAAATTACATAAGCCCTAGAAGGTGAAAAGGAGCATAAACAAGACTTAAAGAGAAATATAAACATACAGGTCGAAGAAAGCCATGTTGACGAGAACCATTGGATGCGAAGTTACGAGGACTGATGTCGACAACCCTCCCCTTCGGAGCCCTCTAGGATCCCTCAGCCTCTCCGTAATCTATATATATCATACACAGATTAATTAAAAATATGCATCTTAACAGTATACTGTAGAGTCACATTTAAGAGAAAAAAAACAAAGAGAAAAGAAACAGAAACCTCTCGTTGTTGGCGATGAAGCTCCTCGATCTCTTGCTGAAGCTCATCTGCTGTCTTCTCAACTGCGGTGGTACCCATTTGAATTTTTACTTCGATAATCTGTTAGAAAAGACAACCAATGTTAACTCGAGAACCCTTGAAAGAGGTTTTTTCTTTCTTTTTAAATAATAAAATATAAAGAGTTTGATTTTTTTATTAGCGAAAATAAAATGGTCGATAATTGGGCAGTTTCTGTTCAGGTTGAAATCCAAAACCCCACTTATATCACAACCCATTTATAAGCTTTTTTCATTTCCTAATGATTATCTTTTTTTTATCAAATCATATCCTACCATATAATATAATAAGGTATATCGTAAAAATATAAAGTTGAATTAATTTAAAATTCAAAGATAATAAGTAGGTTTCGCCAAATCCAATTTAGTCTTCTCAACAACTCTAGTATATATTTCTTATGGCTTTGAAGCATCAAGTCTCCAAATTTCTGAGCTTCAATACCAAGGAAATAACGGAGTTCACCCAAATCCTTTATTGAAAAGCTTTGCGCCCAAACAAGCCATCACTTCTTCTATTTCTTGTTTGATTGTCTAATGATAATAATATCATCAACCCAGACAAGTATATATGTGAAAACACCCTTGTTATTCCTTGCAAACAAGGACACGTATAAAGCCCATCTCAACTAGATATTCTGAGTTTGTATACCAATTTGAAAATTTTGGAACTAACAAATAATAAAACTTTCCTTGAAATCTGTA